TGGATGCTTTCCTAAGGAAAATAATGGTCTTTCCATCCATACCCATGAAGTCTGTGACAGAATGACCAGGATCCATGAAGCCCTGGAAACACACATACTTTCCAGACACAATCTGTGACATTAGTTATGGATCTGGATTCCTCTGGCAGTATCTGGGATAGCCCTCTTAGATCTAGTCCCCAGTTGTAGATTTATGTTCCATTTAATGGTGAAACATTTAGTTCAATGACAGCTATCAAATGCCCAGGAACCAGGCTAGCTGTAACAATTTTTTAATTCTATATTTGTTTCTGCCACCATTAAAAAGAAATCTCTAGCATATTCTAATCCTTATCCTAATATGTAAAAAGTTGATATATATGCTCAGAGAAGACTAACTCATAGTAAATATAGCCCAATTTGAACATTTATTTTGTATATACACATAGGACATACATTTATGTATACAGGCATACCTTGGAGATACTGTGGGTTCGATTTCAAACCACCACAATAAAGCAAATATTGTAATAAAGTGGGCCAAATAATTTTTTTGGTTTCTTAGTGCATATAAAAGTTATGTTTATGCTATATTGTATTAAGTGTGCAATAGCATTATGTCAAAAAAATACCTTAATTAGAAAATGCTTGATTGCTAAAAATGCTGCCTATCATGTGAGCTTTCAATGAGTCATAAACATTTTGCTTATGGAGGGTCTTGCTTTGATGTCGAGGGCTGCTGGCTGATCAGGGTGGTGGTTGCTGAAGGTTTGGGGAGGATGTGGCATTTTCTTAAAGTAAGACAACAATGAAGTTTGCTGCATTGATTAACTCTTTCTTTCAAGAACAATTTCTTTGTGTATGTGATGCTGTTTGAGAACATTTTACATACAGTACTTCTTTCGGAATTGGAATCAATCTTCTCAAACCCTGCCACTGCTTTACCAACTACATTTATGTAATATTGTAAATCCTTTGTTGTCAGTTAAACAATCTTCACCAGCAATAGATTCTGTCTCAAGAAACCACTTTCTTTCCCCATCCATAAGAAGCAACTCCTCATCCATTGAAGTTTTACCATGAGATTTCAGCAATTCAGTAATATCATCAGGCTCTACTTCTAATTCTGGTTCTCTTATGATTTCCACCATATCTGTAGTTATTTCCTCCACTGAAGTCTTGAACCTCTAAACTCATCCATGAGGGTTGTAATCAACTTCTTCCAAACTCCTGTTAATGTTGGTATTTTGACCTCTTTCCATGAATTATGCATGTTCTTACTGGATCTAAAATGGTGAATCCTTTCCAGAAGTTTTTCAATTGACTTTGCATAAATCCATCAGAGGAATCACTACATAGGGCACCTATAGCCTTACAAAATACATATCTTAAATAGTAGAACTTGAAAATCAAAATGTCTCCTTGATCCATAGGCTGCAGAATGGATGCTGTGTGCAGACAGGAAAACAACATTCATATCCTTGTCCACCTCCAGCAATGCTCTTGGGTGACCAGGCGCATTGTCAATGAGCAGTCATACTTTGAAAGTAATATTTTTTCCTGTGCAGTAGGTCTCAACAGTGGGCTTCAAATATTCAGTAACCATGTTGTAAACAAATGTGCTATCATGTAGGCTTTGTTGTTCTATTTCTAGAGTACAGGCAGAATAGATTTAGCTTAATTCTTAAGGGCTCTAGGATTTTTGGACTGGTAAGTGAGCACGGGACTCAATGCTCAACCATTATTCTCTGCTGCTTCTCTAAACAGAAGTGTCTCCTAAGCTTTCCAACATGTGGAGCTGGTCCCACCACTACTTCTCTTTTTTCTAAAAGTATCTAAAACCTAGAAGTGACACTTTCAAGATCCAGACATCTATTTTAAATGCATTCTTTTTGAATGCTCTATATTTTACAAGCTCAGGCACACAAAAGCCAGTGACACAAATAATGTATTTGTACAAGCAAAGTGAAATAGGATGGGAAGCAATCTTATGCCTGCCTCAAGCTAAAAGACACTTTTATTTGAATTATTTAGATACGTTCTTCTATTCCTAGGTCTAATCAGGCAATGTAGACCCAAGCTGAAGGACTACTTAAAATTGTTAACTAGCTTTCATGTAGTATAATGTGTGTGTGTGTGTGTGTGTGTGTGTCCCAGGCTCATCATCCCTGGGCCTCATTGTAACACCTGTGTAGGGAATAATTCTTGTATTATTCTTTCCCTCAACTGAACGAAGTTAATGCTCTATAAAGTCACTTTTACCTACAAACCAATGTGTACGCCTCCCCATACACAGACACACACACACACACACATACACAGATGTGTACCGATATCCCAATCTGGCACATACTATCCACTTATTGCTATTTAAATTCATTAAAATGAAATAAAATTTAAAATTCAATTTCTTATTCACGCTAGTCTCATTTCAAGTGTCCAATAGCCATATGTGGCTAGTGGCTTCCGTATTTTAGACAGCACAGATATAGAACATTTACATCATTGCAGACAGTTCTATGGGATGTCATTGTTCTAGAAACTAAGCAGTGATTTGGTTGGAGAGGACAAAAGCCTGTGACAGTATTTTACAAATTTTAACCCCATTTTTCTCAGACACATTTTTTCTTTTCTATTGGTTTTTCTAGGAGAGGAAGACACTTAGAAGAAGGAAGCTAGAAAAAGCAACAAAACAGTTGGTTAAGCAAGAAGAACTGAAAAGACTTCATAAAGCTCAGGTCAGAAAACAAATTTGGGTGCATGGTCCTGGGGTCTGGAATCTTGGGAATCTGGATTTGAATGCCCTTTGGAAGTCCATATTATTTTGGGGGAGGCAGGCTAGAGAAAAGCAGTCTCTTTTCCCTGAATGGCCAGGTTTGTGGCCATTCTTAAGGCCCTGCCTAGATGCCTGATGGGACTCTGGGGTTTAGAGAGCTCAGGTGTTGAGCTGGCCCACTCCTTGCTGCCTTTTCATCCACAGATGTGTCCTACAAAGTGATCCTGGAATGACAACTAATGCATGGCCTTGGGAGCCATCCCAGGCCCTGACTGCCACATAGCAGTGGCCTTAGTTTTTCCTCTGATTGAACACAACCTTCCCCTGACTTCCTGACAGTGTCTTTGCTAAACTGACAACTTTTAGGGGCTGCATCTATTCCAAGATTAGTTGAAGACATACGCATCCAGCATTTCAATATAGACTTTCTGGCTTAATTGTTACGTCCAAACATTTCTGCCCATGTCGATCTGCCCACCTGTAACAGTCAGGCAAAATGAAGAGGGAAGTCAAAGTATTCTCCATTTCCTTAAGGACTCCAGACTTAGCCCTGAAAAGCAGCCGGATTTAGGACAAAAGGACTTAGAATGAACTCACACTAATCCAGTGTCCCCTTGTATCCCCTGCTGTAGTTTTTGCCTTTTTTGACCATGTGGTCCTGTAATTGTGTCTAACAAGAAGGAAGTCATTTAATCCAAACTCTCACCTTTCACAGTGATTGATATGAGAGCCCCCCTCTTTCACCAAGTAATTCCTGTAAACTCCCCCATCCACTCTCAACTTCTGAAACAGGTTTTCTTGAAACATTTCAGCCTTTCTTTCTGGGAATAAGATACATCTTAATGAGATAGATTGGCAAACTCAGCTATTTCCCCTCCTCATAGTTTCACTCCAGATAGTAGGTGTGATCAGAGAAGAATTACAGTGGCTTTTGGAGTCCCACTCTGCTAGTGCTCATAGCAATAATTTTTAGTCTTTAAGATTTTCATCCTTAGTTTCCAAAGAATGGCCAGTCTTTATTAGTCTGCTCAGGCTGCTATAACAACATACCCCAGATTACATGGCTTAAACAGTAAGAATTTTTTTTCTCACAAATCTGGAGACTGGAAGTTCAAGATCAAGGCTTTCAGGAATGGTTCCTGGCTTGTCGACAACTGCTTTCTTGCTGTGTCCTCAAAATGCATTTTTTTTCTGTGTGCAGGCAAAGAAAGAGAGAGCCTGGTGTTCTTATAAGGACACCAGTCCAATGGGATAAGGGCCCCGCTCTTATGACCTCATTTAACCTTAGTTACTTCCTTAAAGGCTCTGTACCCACCTACAGTTATGTTGCAGGTTGGGGCTTCAGCATATGAATGTGCAGGGGACACAATTACGTCCATAACAACCACATAGCCATACTTGTACAACTGTGGATAATAAGTCATTTAAATGTTTCTCTTCCATTAGCAATTCTCCTATCAAGAGATTTACTCATAAAGATGTAATTGTCTTGAAAGAGAGAAAGAGAGGAAGAGGGCATGAAATTGCAGTAGTTTTATATAGAATGCCCATCTATTTCAGATGTTAGATTAGGCACTGGGGCTTAAATATTCTTAGGTGGGACAAGAAGAGCCAAGTGGCTGCTTAGGCCCCACTGCTGCTCAAATCTCTTCCCAGGGTTGGAGGTTCTTCGGTAACTGTATTCTGAATCCAGGGGAGACTTAGACGATGCAGCGTTAAGCAGGAAGGGGAGTGTGACTGAACTGGAGGAAGGTAGAAGAGGAACAGCACATGCATTCTATCTGCCCAGACAGCTGCCGGTTCCTTTAACATCCCTGTTCTGCAGGTGCCAAGTCGGTTCTGCCAAGAGAGGTGCCTTTTGGCAGCATTATGTTTGAAAATAGAGAAAATTGATGGGAATCAAGATTCCTATATACATTTCTGCTAACTGTCCTTCCTAATATATACAATGGAGAAATAGCTAGTAAGGAAAATAAATATGTAAATGCAAACCCAGCCATGATGCCAAACCTTAATAAGGTGCTGATGGTGAACCTAAGGAGAGGGTGAGGTTGTCCCTTAGTGGCATAAATGCCCTGTGTCTTAGCTTAGCAATGTGCTAGTAGCAAAGCCACTGTACACTTCCACTGTAAAGGGTCCCTGGACATTGGCTCCATGGTGCAATGAAAGAATAGGTACAGTTGGTAACTGAGGACAGGAGCTGGACAAACCGAGAAAGGACAAACCAAGAAAGGTCCTGCTCCAGACCAACTTCTCGGGAGGTATCTGCTGGTTCTTCTTGGGAAAATGGAATGTGAGCAGGCCCTCAGAGCACCTGTCCTACTGTGAATAGTGGCTGCAGCTCCAGCATATGTCATGACCACAGTCAGAGGCTGAGTCTCCAAGGAGTCCAGGAACCATGAGGCCCGGCCACCTAGCCCAGCAGCCTCTGCCTGAGAGCACGCTGTGTGATCGGCTAGGCCCAAGGGAGCTGTGTTCATTTCTACCTGGGGGGGAGACTGAGCTTACACAAAGACTTCTCACTTAATGTTTTCACACTAAAGAAGGGAAACATCAGATCTATTGTAGCAGGAATTCTTTACCCATTAATCAAGGAGAGACCCCATGAAGGACAGGATCCTTCCTCTTGGAAACTGAGTGGCAGAAATAACCCCCTCGTGTAACTCTGCACATCAAGAGTCCCTCCATAACATACAATCCTGACATTTCAGGCCATCCAGAGGCAGCTGCAGGAGGTGGAGGAGCAGCAGAGGGCTTCAGAGATCCAGGGCGTAAGACTGGAGAAGGCACTGAGAGGAGAAGCAGGTAGGCATCCCACTGGATCTGGCACAGTAGGCTTGGGTCCATGTCTGTGGTCTGGGAATAGTGCTGGTCTTACCATCTGGGCAAAACTGGATCACCCACTGTGGAACAGTCAACACGGACATGCAGTGTTAATCAACAACTGCTTCACACTTTCAGAATCAAACTGGTGTCCGGTTTGCAATCCCTAGGGCATTGGTCACTTGTGGGCCTTGTCACGGGGTTTCTGGTCTACCCAGTGTCTCTTCTGCAATTGTGAATGTTCTTTGCAATTCAGGAGTTAAGATAAATTCAGGAAAAATATTTGGGCATTCAGACAACATTGGTAGTGCTTCAAAGCCTGGACTTGGAGTCAAAGTCCTGGTTTCTCTCTTAACTAGCTATATGACCCTGAGCCAGTCACATTCAAAACCTTTATGAGCTTTCATTTTCTTCTCAAAAATGGGGACAATAGTGGTTTGGGACAATAGTGGTTTCCTACTTTATAAAGCTGACATAAGGATTAAAGCAGAAAAAATATATGTATTTAATATATATGCATATAAAGAAATTAAATTAGCACATTGCCTTAGCACAAGGCAGAACAGTAAATGGCACTATTCCACTGATAGCTTTAGACTCTCAGATGCAAACAGAATTCATCTGCTGAAGACCTCTCACTTGTTAGACATGAGACAGCCTTTGAGTAGTTGAAAGGTTAATGGTCCATTGAGGACACACACATGTAAATACAGGAGAGGAACAAGCATTAGGGTGGAAAGGGAACAGAATCGTGAGGTTCCTAACTGGTCCTGGGAGAGGGGGAGATCAAGCTAATCCCCGGGAAGAGGTGGTCTATTAAAATGAGAACCAGAGCAGGAATAGGAGTTATGGAGGGGAGGTTCTTCTGGCAGAGGGAACAGCACCTGTGTAGGTGAACTGTGAAACCGATGTGAAATGCCTTAATGAATGAAGCACCAGCAAAGGGATGACATGAAGAAATTGACAGTTTTTGGAAACCATCTGGCAGTCGTGTGGCTAGTGAATTGGAGCAGCCCTTAGAGCTAACATGGACTGTTCCTTTAGTTTTCTGAAATGTCTTCAGCCTTCTGTAGTTTGGATATAAAGTGTGAAAAAACCAGACACTGAGAACACATATGTTTGTGTGCACATGTAAACAACATGTTACTTGTTAAACAACATAGTGAAGGGTAGGGTTTCAATTCTCTCAGGAGTTTAGTCATTGGAGAGCCATGATACTAGCAGGAGCAGCCCATATTGTGTGAGGCCTGAAGCTCAAAGTCATGCACACGAAGCTGTGAGGGCCGCTCCCAGGGCCTTGCTGCATATCAGGGAAACGTTGGAATCTGGCTTTCATCCCTCTGTGCCTCAGTTTCCTTGTTTTTAAAGTGGGTGTGATAATCATACCTGTTCCTTGGGTTTGTGATAAGGACTGGCTGAAACAACTTACGTAGAAGCCCTTGCTTAGCATAGAATAGATGATTAACAAATATTTGTTCCTTTTCTTACTAAAATACACTCTACATTTCCTTGTGAGGATAACCCAAATCCACCCATCAGAAGCAGACTTCATTACAGAAATGGTAACTGGTTTTTGATGCTTGGAATAAGATTCACTGACTCTCTCGACAGTGGTTGCTGGAACTTTCAGTGCAATGAACTGCCCTTGTCTGATGTTTGGTCACATTCCCAATCAAGAAGGCTCTGATAATTGTCATTAGGAATCCACTGATTTCAGTGAGAGCCTTTAGAAATGAAAGGGATTAACCAGCAAAGCTAGAGCATGTTTCAGATTGTTGGGGTGGCAGCATGGTGGAGTGGGGAAAGCAGAGAAGTATATAGGCATCAGAGAGCCCCATGTTAAAGTTTCATTACCATTAGGCTGTGT